ACAGCTATATATATATATATATATATATATATATATATATAGCTGTATTTATGTATGTATGTGTGTTTGTAACTTGATGGGATGCCATTGAACACCTGTTGCAAAACCACAGAAGGCAGAGGGTTGTTGATGGATTATTTTTTCTTGACTCTCTGTGTGTATGGGTCTGTTAGCAAAATATCTCATGGATCACTAGTCTAAATTTAATGAAACTTTTAATGTAGGTAGATTTACATCACTGCAGGCATTGAGCTCGTGCTCTGTTTCCAAACAGAGGTTGTCTGGTGCCCTCTATTGATGTAAAAATGTAAGTATTGCGTAATAACTGCTGCTTCAGCTGGGACCATTTAATGTTCAAGACATTCAACTTTCCTTTACATCAAATAGATCAAATAGCTGTTTTCTTAACAAATGTGTCTGAGTACAATTTTGAAATTTACCACGAATCAAATCTTTTAAGACATTTATTTAAAAGCATTAAAAATGTTACATCAAGACATCATTTGGTGTTAAGGCCAACATTTAGCAAACAGTATGAAAGAAAAGCACAATTTTCTTTTCTACAAATATTTTCATCGACAAAACATGGATTTTAATTATAATTTACACTTCTTAAATTTAATGATTGTTAAAATGAGACATGAACACCTACAGATAAATGTGTTGTTGTCTACATGAGGAGTGTCATTTGTTTAGTTTATACTTAGTTTTTTTATTATTATTAAATGGTTTTGCACACACAATGGATCAGATAATATTGTATTGCATATTTTGCAAGTTTTATCAAAGAAAAATAATGCGCAAAAATTCGAACTTTTAATAATATTCCAATTATGAACACACCAACCTCAACAGCTTTAAAGCAAATACATAAAACCATCATTATAGGTAATAATATTATGTACCACGTTTTTATTTCCATTTGGTGTTTTCTATTTTGGTAATAAAAATCCTGAATGATTCCTTTTTTGGGGCAGAAGAAAGAGTAACCCTTATTCCTCTTTTTTCTTTTTCAGAAGATTCTCCTGGAAAAGGTCAGTTCAAGTACGCTTGTGATGAATGGATGCCAGTAAAAACACAAAAGACCATGGAAGGAGAAGACGTATTCAACTCCACAATGAACACCAGTGCGATGGACATCCATCAGGGCACTCACAGCCTCTGGGAGGTGATCACCATCGCCACTGTATCAGCTGTAGTCAGCCTCATCACCATCGTGGGGAACGTTCTTGTGATGCTCTCCTTTAAAGTCAACAGCCAACTGAAGACGGTGAACAATTATTACCTGCTGAGTCTGGCAGCTGCTGACCTCATCATAGGTGTTTTCTCCATGAATCTGTACACCTCCTATATACTGATGGGCTACTGGGCTTTAGGGAACCTTGCCTGTGATCTGTGGTTGGCGTTGGATTACGTAGCCAGCAACGCCTCCGTCATGAACCTGCTGGTGATCAGCTTTGATAGATATTTCTCTATCACGAGGCCTCTGACTTACAGGGCCAAACGGACTCCCCGGCGAGCTGGAATCATGATAGGTTTGGCGTGGCTGGTGTCGCTGATTCTGTGGGCTCCACCAATTCTTTGCTGGCAATACTTTGTTGGAAAAAGAACAGTTCATGAGAGGCAGTGCCAGATCCAGTTCTTCTCAGAGCCTGTGATAACGTTTGGAACAGCGATCGCTGCCTTTTACATCCCTGTGTCGGTTATGACGATCCTCTACTGTCGAATCTACAAGGAGACGGAGAAGAGGACCAAGGATCTGGCCGAACTTCAGGGGGTTAACTATTCAACAGACTCGGGGGAGACACAACCGCAGAAAACTATTGTCAGATCATGCTTCAGTTGTAAGCTACGGTCAGCTTCACATGATCAGAACCAAGCCTCCTGGTCATCGTCCAGCAGGAGCAATGCCAAATCAGCCACCTCCACCAGTGATGAGTGGTCCAAAGCCGGCCAGCTGACCACCTTCAACAGTTATGCCTCCTCCGAGGACGAGGACAGGCCGGTGTCTCCAGGAGGCCTCCGGACCTCCTTTAGGAACAAAGCATGCGAGGCCAGCAAAAGCAGAGTGGACAATGAGAGCGAGAAGCTCGGCAGCTACAATGAAGACAGTTTCTATCAGATGCCACCAAAGAGCAGCTCTCAGAGGAGCAGCAAGTGTGTGTCCTATAAATTCAAACCTGTGGCCAAAGACCCCCACGCGGAGCACCAGAGCAAGAACGGAGACACCAAAATGATGTCATCAGCATTCTCCTCTGCTGAGTCCATGAGCGCTCCATCCGCTTCGTCTACGTCCAAAACCATGGACTCTTCTCTGAAGAACCAGATTACCAAGAGAAAGAGGATGGTGCTGATTAAGGAAAAGAAGGCAGCTCAGACTCTCAGCGCCATCTTGCTGGCTTTCATTCTAACGTGGACGCCTTACAACATCATGGTGCTGATTTCAACCTTCTGCTCGGACTGCATCCCCCTCTCCCTTTGGCACCTGGGCTACTGGCTGTGCTACGTCAACAGCACCGTCAACCCTATGTGCTATGCTCTTTGCAACAAGAATTTCCAAAAGACTTTCCGCATGCTGCTGCTCTGCCAGTGGAAGAAGAAAAGAATCGAGGAGAAGCTATACTGGTATGGACAGAACCCTGCAGTCGGCGCCAAGCTGTCCTGAATAAGTGCTTAAAAATGACTGAACTTTTCCAATTCAGATCTTACATCTTATAGTGTTGCTCCTTAATCAGTAGTTCTGGTGTAGTTTAAAATATCTGCTGCTAAATTCTGCATATAAATATATGTGTTCTTTTTACATTATATGTAAAAAGATATATGATGATAACATTATATGACGTTGTACATAGGTTGAAAATAATATTAAGTAACAGTATTTCAGATCCAATTTAGGCACTTTGTGCTTATAACAATTAGTTATTATCATTATGGTACCATATCTGTATTTAAACATCTGCTCTTACATTCAAAATGACATAGCACATGCAGATCAGTCTAATTCTTTAGTTGTCAATTTTTATTTCAAAGGGCTAAAATTGTACATGGTATCCTACAGCTTGCCAGTTTAAGAGTTTTACTTGATCACTTGAGCCTTTATCACCGACTTCTGACACAATTCAATATAGATTGAGCATGTTCTCACTTACAGTCATTGCGTTGATGTATCAGCTTCAGCAGTATTAGGACAAACCTTTAAATCCCTCTGACTTGTCTATGTTTACATCAGGAGGAGAACTGGAGGATTTAACTGTATGTGTGCAAAAACCTCTTCATCCTTTTTCATTCTCAGGATATTATTTTATTTCTTGGGTATCCAAAAAAAAAAAGTGTTTTCTCTGAATTACTGTAGTGAAATATGCCACCGTATCTTCTGGCAAATTTGTAACAATGTGTGGGGAAGAGTTTTTCTTTTTCTTTTAGGCATAAGCCAGCAGGTCGTGAAGACTTTTATTGGGTAACTGTGAAAAATGAGAAGAATTTAGGGGCGGTGGAGTTGTTTGGGTGTACTGACAGTTTCAATGGCTATTCAAGCTCGTGAAACATTGTTTTTTTGCATTATTTTGTGGTCACGTTCAATAATTTCTTAATAAAATGTGATGAATTGAACATCCAGAAAGTCACCAGTTATAATGTTGCATGGAAATGTTGGACTTCTTGAAAATGACGTGATCATAGCTCATCCTTCTTGCAGTCTCCACTGTAAACTTTACCTGTGTCTGAAGGTCTCACCATCATCCATGCATACTTGCAGAGTCGCTCCTTGTTGCAGTCCTTTTGCCAATAAATCACATTCCTGCGATTTAAATTGGCACCAGCGCAGGCATCGTACCACCAACCCCCTCCTGCCACGCCTTGAAACTCCAGCTTGGCACAGTTTTGGAAGTAATTGTCGTTGTCTCTGTCTTTTGTGGTGAATTTCTGGTTGTCGTGAAGGTAATTCTCCGTGTCCAGGGTCAGAGCGTCTATAGCAGTGCCCTGGAACAGCCCAAGCCTCAGCCTGTATGCTGTTGATTCATCCTCCACCAAAAATGGGTCATACTCCCCCATCTTGGTGATGGCATCCTGGTCTACAAGCTTTACTCCCAGTTTATAACGAGCGGGACCACGGGTGAGCTGATGGAGGTGCTCATTCCCCAGCCAGTGGTCCCCATTGATGTCTCCAAAACCATTCTTGTACTCATCCCAGGTGCGATCAAAATTGACGCTGCTGTTGACTGTGATGTGCTGCACCACGGTCCATCCTCCCTCCTGCATGGCACAGTACGCCACAATTGGGGAGTCATGCGGTTGGATGAGGTACACACCATCTCTGGCTTGGCCTGGATATGCCATCAGCATCTCATAGCAGTCTCTGGGTAGAACTGTTGAGCAAATAAACAGGTCAATCATGAGTATGCAAATAAAGTTTATTGCACTGATTAGCTGCTTGCAGCCTAATAAAATAGGGCTGCTCAGTTTAAGAAAAACACGTCACTTGATCAGATGTGATAAACACACATCTGCAGTTTAACTAAGAAGGTTTAAAAAAGAAGAGAATAAAATAAACACATAATCTTTGCCAAAAACACACCAACAACCATGGGGGTCGAGATGGTGTAGGTACAGGGCAGCTGACGCAGGACCCGAAGGTCCTGGGCTCGATCCCCGGTCATTACACATCTCGTGGTGTCTCTGAGCAGGACACCCAACTCCAAATTGCTCCCCAGGCAGCTTACACAGCTGCCCACTGCTCCACCTGGATGCATCCCACAATCTAAAGCCAGTCAAGTAAATTTTGAAGAAACATTAGTCTAGTCATATTTAGCTCTTTGCTGCCCCCTACAGGTGTGAGACATAACATCACCCTCAGAAGCTCTTTCCAAGAACAAGCTATTTCTACAGAATCCTTTAAAATACATATCTAATTAGTTTAGTGGACAACTAGCATTTACTAAAATACTGAAGTTTTTAATTAAAAGCTCACGTTCATCTTTTAATATCCTTTTTTTAGTGCTTGTGAACAGTAATTGTGAATGGTAGTTAGCGTTAACCGTATCAAGGATTTGTCGTTTTAGTGAAAGCTGAACTAAAACAACTTCATTCCTTCATGTCTTTAAGGTAAACCTGCTGGAAGCTCTACATGTACGTTAGAAAAACAACAGTCTGATAAACAAATCACCTGAAAAGAACACTTATCATCAATGAGTCACTCAGTAATTTCATTCGCAAACTGGAATTTGACCAAACACAGACTTGATCAGATACAGGTGCAATACCGCAGAGATCTACAATTGTTCAACAAAGGTTTGAGCACTTCGTTTATTAGATCCTACTCTTTTTTTTTTTTTTTATCAAACACTATAAAAAGTCAAAATGAAAGTAAAAGTACACAAATGCATACCTTTCATCTCCCTGTTTAGGACCTTGTTCTGATCATTTGGGGAAAGAAGATGAAGATTTTCAGCTTGGAGATGTTCCACTTTAACTCCAGTCGCGCTCAGCAGCAGCACGGCCGCTGCATGCAGCCAGGATCTCCAGCAATTCATCCTTCACTGTCTTCAGTCACACGAACAGAGTTTAGTTACTGATTTAAGTTAAGATTTACACAACACACATTTTGAAACGTTACAAAGACGTATAAAACTCATAATGCTTACGTTGAGTTGGGGAAAAACGCTGTAGGAATATGTTGCACTCAAACCGCCTCTCGTACTGTGATCGTCTACACAGTCTGAATAAAAAGCACTTGAATGCAAACATGATTGCGGCGTTCAGATTCAGAGTTCAGTGAATTGCAGCCTCTCCAGCCCAGTTACAGCTGGACTTTAGACCTACGATCCACATTACACTAGACACCAATCCTCCACTTATCTGCATCAAGTGAGATAAACCCAAATGTCAACCCATATCTTTGCCTTATTTTAATCACATCAACTGTGCATGAGGCCAAAGTTCAGCTGAGGGAAAAAACGCTTTGCAAGTTTCAGTCGGTTGCTACAGATCAAAGCTTTAGGGATGTATTTTTGCCTGAAGTGGAAATCTGACTGCTATTTTCAGTCACATCAGATGGAAGTCAGCACCAGTTTGCAGTTAAATAAACACTTTTGCGCAATAATCACTTGTATTGAAAATGGCAAACCCTCTTCTAACAATCCTGCCCTCATATAGCCATCACGTGCAGTTTCTTGTCCAACTGTCATTGATTTGCGATTATTTTTGTCTTTAACACGACAGAAAATACACTTCCTCGTGTCAAGGCTAAGAGGTCCACAAACTTCATGGAAAAAATAAACATAATGGATCTAAAACAGTGAAAACCTTCAAGAATATAGTGTTTGAACAGTTTTTATGTATTATTATTAAAGCACGTACAAAAACTGACACATAAAACAAATGATTGATAATAACATCCTACTATTTTTAATGCTTGAACTTGTACTTTTCCTGTTTCAGGTTGAACTGCAAACTCACTGATCCGGCACATTAATTCACCAGCACAGTCTTTGTTTTGTTTACCGTATTTTTTGGATTATAAGGTGCACTAAGCGAAACAAGTTCATTTTGACGGGTTTTTGAGCGCAATGTACCACCATAAAATCAGTTCAAGGTCAGTAAGCGCAGCCAGAATTAATTAGGGCTGGACGATATGACCAAAACTTTTATCACAATATATTTCTTAATTTCGATCGATAACGATATAATTGGATATCGATATAAACAATATAAAAGCCTCGGAAAAACTGTACAAACTGTACAAATAAATTAATTGTCACCTTTTATTTGTATTTAGCCTTAAAAAAAAAAAACACAGTCAGATACACATAAAACTCAACTTTGTCGCTATTAATAATTTTAACTTTAAACAACATAACCTAATCCATGCAGCAAAATTCTGTGTTTGGTGCATGCGTTTCATTTTTGAAGCAGCTGGGGGTGTTGTTTCAGGGACATGTTGGCTGAAACTTTTATTGTGCTTCATCTTCTGATTCTCAGCATATTCTATCAAGTGGAACAAGTTAGATGTGTTCCCACCGCTAGTTGGAACGACGCTACTGCAGTTTATCGGATCTTAAAGCCGAACCACTTCCACACCGCCAAATTAGTCTTTCCTCTCTTATCATTTATGTCTTCTGTTTTCTCTTCACTTGTTCAGTCACATTCTGACACTCATGGGCACTCATTTTGAAGCGAAAACTTAACGCACGTTGGAGATTAGCCTAGCCTAGCCTAGCCTGCTAACGCCTTCTGGACTGGAGCTCTGCGTAACATCTACGTCACCACGTACTGACGTAGTTGTGTCGCACCTTTTTCTGTTCTGGTTGAAACTGCAGCGCTGCTTCAACCCAAACAGAAAAAAAAATGCGTCAGTGAAACGCTGTAATTGTATTGAAATATCGAAAATGTGCTTAAAACTCATATCATCGTTATTGAATAAAAATATATCGTGACAAATATATTGATGTCTAATTATTGTCCAGCCCTAAAATTAATGTATAAGGCACACCGGATTATAAGGCTCACTGTTGATTTTTTGAGAAAATTAAAGGATTTTAAGCGCGCCTTATAGTCCGAAAAATACGGTAGTTTAAAAGCACGGCAGCCATTAACGCCGTAACTGCAGCCGTTGACAGAGAAAGGTGGAATCTGCATCCTTGTTGCTATAATTTAAGTTGAAAAAGGAAGGTGGCAATGACCTGAGAGAGCAAAAAAGAAAAACATGAGTGATTATTTTTATACAATAAAATAATAAAGATGTTTATTTTGCTCTCACATTAGCCATTTCTCCTGCCACAGCTGGAGCAGATTTCAGTAGAGGTTCCTCGTCCCACAAGTTCCATAACTGATGATTAAAATCCTGGAAATTTCTGAGCGAAAAGACAAAACTAAATAATAATGTTATGATGCAAGATTGTTTGACTTGGATATTGTAACTATATTTCATCACGTTGTTCATAAGTAAGAACAACATTCTGAAAAGGCATAAATTAAGCAAGAACATCTCACAAATCCAAACTGTGTGATCGTTGCTTCTAAAGTTACTCTCATTTTTAAGGTCTTTTTGTTTGTATTATAAAAATTGAATTAAGTTATTTTGTAATTAACGTCTTGATTTATTCTGTTCTGTGCATCTCAGAAAACAACATTCAATAATTAAACTCTTACTGATCGTGCTGACGTGAAGAAGATCCACCTAAGCCACTCATTTGAAGCTCCTCCCACCAGTTTTTTAAAACTGCATATATCCACTTAAAACCAACAATTCGATACCTGTGAGGAAACAACATCATTTAAACAATTTTGATTTATGTATATGGTGATATGGTCCAGATGAGATTTCTCATTGGAGAGCTTTATGGGAGCAGAAGAGCACTCACCCTTCATACGGCTTGCTGAGGATTTGCCTAACTAGAGGGAAAAGGTCAACGCAGCAGCCGATGTTAATCCTGGATGAATCCTCATCAATGCTGCAAATTAAAAACAACGAAAATGGTAGAAAGTAATCATTTTGTCGTCAGTGTTTTGAATTTGAAAATGGCTTACCATTTGCATAAAAGAGGGAGTAAATCAACAATCACACCAGTGTCTTGGATTCTGAAGGGAAACAGTGACTTTACTTTGAAATTCTTGGGAACATCTGCTCCACATGTTTAATAATTACACAGTACATACTTGAGAAAATACGTCAGCAGCTCTTCAAAGTTTCTTTTCCATAATGTTAATGCCACCTTCAGTCGCAGATGTCTTGCAAACAGCACATCAGTCATTGTGTTGTGATCCTGACGGAGCTGGAAACAACAACAAATTAATCAGATGTTTTTCATGAAGCCAGACAAGAACATGGGCAGAGTGGCCAGTGATAGTCACCTCGTTGAGTGCGTAGTAGTCATTCTGCTCAGAAACTGTTCTAGTATTACTGTTCTGGCTGACATTTAGTGGGAACTCCAGTGGATCCATAAAGAACATGTCCTGCTGTGTGTCTTTTAAGTGTTGCAGCTCATTTTTTTTGTTTGCTGCATCCAAATTTCTCCCACATCTGTGTTGTTTCCGTCGAAACACTGCCACATGATGGGTTTTCCTCTTGCATGACACGACCCGCTTCGGTCTCCCCAGGTTGTTGTTGCCACAGCGACTAACTGGATATCTGGATTTTGCAAAATGTTCAAATATGCTGAGCAAAATTACAAGGCAACTGAAGCAAACATGCACTCATTTTGGATTAAATACCTCTTTATGTTGAACTCCTGTTTGTCATATTTCACCTGCAATTTAAAAACGCAACAGGATGGAAAGAGCAAGTGGAAAAAATGGAAATACAGATGTTTCATAAAGTCACTCAGCTGCATTTCCCCTATGAAGATGGCTTACTCTATAATGAGCTGCCTCATAATGATGGCTGTCAACATTTTGGTCCATCAGATCTAAATGAAGGAAAATCCATTTTAAAATCATTGTTTAATAAAAAGCCAAACGGACTACAAGCTTAATCTAAACAAAAACTTGTATCCCTAAGAAAAATGTGAATAAACATCATTAAGTCTCAGAAATAAACAAAGTAGATACCAAGGTTATATTTTTTAATAGACTGTGTCTAAAGGTTTATACTATATAAACTTAAAGAAAATGCATTGTTTGCATGTACAATTTCAGATTTTTTTTAAATTGAATAATAAATATATTCATAAACATGGTGGTTATCCAAGTCTGGAGGTTTAGTAGTAATGTCTTCAGGGTAAAAAAAAAAATGTGATTTTAAGAATACAAAGTATTTATAGGCAATTATTCTATAAGCTGTACTTTAAATAAATTTTTCTCTAAATTATTATTTTTAAATATATTAGTCTGGAAGTCACTGCATCGAGCTTTAGTTTTGTTCCTCTATCGTTTGTCGATAGATCAGGATTATCACTGTGAAAGGAAAGAAAAAAATCACTGTAATTCATTCAACCTTTATTTATACAGGTTAGTCTCATTGAGCCTCGGGGCCTCATTTACAAGAGAGACCTGTAATGCCACTTTAATTGTTGATATGTGCTGCTGATCTCATGCTGCTGATTATTTCATGTATTCATTCATACTCATTTACTCACATAGACTCATGTTCGTGCTGCTGTTTTGTACTATTAGTGTTTAGCACATTTCTTAGTTTATATTTTAGATCCTTATTCACTGTTTCTTTTTACACTTTATATTTTTGCTTTTGTTGGATGTAACTGGGACCCTGTGTACACAATTTTGTTCCACCTCGTGTACCACATGTGATGCAAATGATACTTGAACTTGTAACCTGATTTAAATAAAAAAATAAAATTGCACAACAACTTTTTGTTATTTTTTTCTAAGTAAAATTTCTTGAAGCGATGTGAGCTCCTAAAACCACCATGTCCCATAAATCTTTTTGACACTGTTGTTGTTTTGTTCTGACAAAGACAGACTGTTGGTTGTGCTCGTGTTTAAAGTGTAAATCTCTATTAAACTTATTCTGAGTGGAGGAGTTTGTGGATTCGGAAACTGTCGTTCTCAATGTTTTATCAACTGGTAAGTTTCATCTAGAGGCAAAATAAATACTATCTTTAACGCATGCGATGTTATAACGTAGTATATAATCTTGCCAAACAAGTGGCTTAATTAGAAAATTTAGTTAGTGAGAAAGAACTGGTAAAGTCAGAGCTGCAGAAGTTACAACCAGTAGTGAAGGAGAATATTAGTGCTCACTGTCCTGCTATAATCTGTATAAAATTATTATGAAATGTCTTATGAACCTTTATTTAACCAGGCAAATCCCACTGGGATCACAGATCTCTTTTACAAGGGAGGCCTGGGCCTGAAGGCAGCCTAACGTGCATGTGTGTGATCTGTGGGAGGAAACCAGAGTACCCGGAAACATACAGACTCCACACAGGAAGACCCCAGTTCCAACTGGGGATTGAACCTATAGGACCTTGGTGCTGCCTATAATGACAAACCTGTTTAGGTCAACATGGACAGCGATCTCTGGGGGTCCCGAAGACAAACGAATTCTCAGGATTCTTTGAAAAACGAAGAGCACAGGGTGTGAACGACCTAGAAAAAGAAGAATGTTTTTGTTAAAACAGAAAAATTGTGTTTTTGAATTGTTGCTTTATGAGAAGGTGTGACACCCACCACCCCCGTCTCTGGCGTCGAGTACTATCTCCATTGCCACAGCCTGGAGTGGAATTTACACCCGTGCTCCATTCTCAGTTGTTTAGTTGTACGAGAAGACTTTTTTAACTGGACTGTTTTTTAGACATTTTGATGCTGTTATTTTGATTAATAGTCGCCGTGACGTACGTCACGTGATTACCCATCAAACATTTCTCTTGTATTTTTAATAAATAATCAAAATTTTATTAGTGACACTCTTAAACTGTAACACTGATTTGCAGTTTATTCATTCATTCAACCTTTATTTAGACAGGTAAATCCCATTGTCCTGATGCACGCCCAATAATACTGGTATAAAAATCTAAAAAAGTTAAGTCTGGTCCTCTGGACGGGTTCAAAAAACAAAATTTGCAATTTGATTTGCAATTTAGTTGTGCCGTTTAATTATATTTTTGTGTTTTTATTTAAAATGCCCATGAGCGTACTTTTAGGGGTGGATATTTTTTAGAAGCAAAAGTGCTTTTGAAGCGGCAGCTCAATGGCTTTAAAGAGATTTATCTCTGAAAGGAAGAATATTGCTAACGAAGGCAGAAAGATTGTCTCTTCTCACATTTTTTTTAATATATTTTTTAAAATTAAACCTTCTTTTTAACCAGATTAAGAAAAACAAACAAACATTGAGATCAAGACCTATTTCACAAGGGTGACTTGGGCAAGAAAAGGCAGCAGCGCACGTCCTAAAACAAACAAGATACACAATAGGACTTCAGAAATATATAATAAAACATGTAATATAACAGTAAAAGGCAATAGATGTAATAATAATAATTTAAAACAATGACAATTTAAGATCTAAAACACAGGCACTGTTGACAAGATATCCATTGTCATTTAAAATAAAAAAGTTTTCTAAAAGCAAAGTAAGAAGTTCTGACAGTTTTAATTCAGCTTGTACAGCATTCCAAGCTGAGGGGGCAGAAAAGCTAAAAGCTTTCTTGCCTCTTTCTGTTCGCACACGAGGAACATAAAGATGCATAACTACTGTCCATTCTTCCAATAAAAGTACATATAAAATGCGTAAGCAGGCCAATAAGACTTGTACACCAAAGACGTGCAATGTACATGTTGCCTGTAGAGGGACGACACACTGGTTTTAAAATAGAGATCACAGTGATGAGATAGCTCCTACCAGTGATAAATCTTAATGTGCAATGGTGCACTGGATTCAAGGGCTCTATACTGTTTGAAGCACACATGTAGACAACATTGGTAGCATCTTAGTAGCATCCAGCCCTAAGGGAGAAACATGATTTGTTTCTGAAGAAGAACCCGATCTTAATCCTTAATTTGGAGATTAAGTGTTTGAGATTAGAGATTGTCTCATCTCATATATGCAGCTAACCCTCTGGCTGTCAACAAGCAAATCTGTACCACTATTGATAAGTTACTTTTCAATCTTATATGGAAAAATACAGTAAAACACATTATGTGAAGAAATCTGTTATTATGAACACTTATGCTTCAGGTGGTTTAAATCCCTCGACTTTTAATAAAACCTTTAAAATTAACTGGATAAAGCCGTTTTTACAGAACTCTATCTTCGTGGAACTTGATACCCAAATATGTTTTTCTACTGCTGGAGGCCTTGAATATGTACCTCTATGTGATTATAAAACAGATAAACTTCCCCTTTGGTTATCAAAAATTTCATAAACAAATGTTGGCATGGTCTTTAATTTTTAAACACAGTTTTTCTCCACATAAATGTTTCATTTGGAACAATCAACATATCAAATACCAAAATAAATCTCTTTTTTTGACACTTGTGGTTTGATAACAACATAATTCTAGTATCTCATTAATGATAATGGGAATTTGCTGAAATTCTCTGAGTTCCTGCAAACATTTGTTTTTCCTGTAACCCCCAAAGAATTTACTAAAGTAATGTTGTTCTAACTTTATTAAAGAGTGCTGAGAAACCAGACGTTGTTCCACCCTTTGACCCCGCGGTGACCCAAGTTGTTGTATATGCTTTTCGGTCAAACCCAAAAATGATAATAATCATAATATTAGGTCATTACTATTACTTCAAGCAGATATTACCACTACCCCCTATGTTGATCATTACTGGGCTGGATTTGGAAATGGGCTGCACTGGGTCAGTGTGTGGAAATCGCCATAGATATTAGCTGCTAAACAAAGTGAGAGAAGTGTCTTATAAATTAAACCATAGAAATTACTCTGACAAGCAGTACATGTTCAAATTTAAGAAATATATCTTATGTGAATTGCTCTCTCTGTGAGTCTGAACCTGAAACTCTGATGCACATATGTGATAAATGTCAGAATACTCTTAGGGAAACATACATAAATCAAAGCTCAGTCACTCTATTCCCTCTTTTCAGGCCTTCTAGAAGGAGTCCGGACATTGTAAACATTTCTGACTCTAATAACAAGAAAGCTATAAAAACATTTGATTTATGAACCTTATTGAATGTGTTTATTTGAATAATCCCCTTGGTTTTTGTTTATTTGTTTGAATGCATATTGATAACTGTTGTTGTAATGTTTTACGTTTAATAAAGATTTTCTTTTTTTTTAAAAGGAGCAGCTAGTATGTGATATTAGGAAGTGGCTGTTGTGTTTAAAATTAGTTTTTCTGTAGTTATTTTCAGATTACATGTCCAATACTGTATAGGTTTTATTCGTTCAAGGCAGTAATATTTGTTCATAACTTTATTATTAGTAATTCTGACAGTTACCGGATCCAAGCAAAACAGTTACCAGAACTCACCCTGTCAAAATAAGAGAGTTCCTGGAGCCTGATGACATCCAGCAAGAATCCTGCCCCATCTAACAAGTCCAACCAGAATCTACCTACTTTCACCATTAAAAGGGTTCCAGGGACAGTTAGGCCAGGTTCAGTCTGCAGGACTGACACAAAGTATTGTTGGTGAAGGATAGTAGACTGAACATTGCATTTATTTCCAAAACTATTCTCGATCTAATAAATAGAGTTAAATCTTTCCTCATGGCTCCTCCTCACTTCTGATTTCAAAGAAGAAGCGCTGAACAGGTTGGTATAGATATCCTGATGCATGCTCAATAATCCAGGTAGAAAAATCTAACAAAGGTTGATATAGAGCAGGGGTCTGCAACCTGCGGCTCTGCAGCCACATGTGGCTCTTTGGTCCCTCTGCAGCGGCTTTTTCAAGCTTTTACTAAAACTGACATAAAACTGAATTTTATAAGATGTTATACATCCAACAAAAAATGACAAGTTTTAGCTGTTTTCCTGTCACTTCTTTTGCAAATATGTGGATACTAGTACTAATACAGAAAGTAGATTACTCATTTTAATTTTATGCCATTGGATACATATTCAATTTCTCCGCAATAAACAAAAAACACACATAAGCCTACACAGTTCATTGTTTTAGCTATATTTTAATAGGCAAAATTATATATATATATATATTTATTTATTTTTTTTTATTTTTTTTATTTTTTTCCATTATAATAATCCAGTCTTCTGTGATAGACTTGCAACCTGGATATGGGCACCAGTGACCCAACCGAAAAGGAAAAAGCAAGTAAAGAGGATGGATGAATAGATGGATGGATGGATGGATGAATGGAATCCAGTCTTTTCTTTTGTCTTAAAATGTAAAAATATCAATAAATGTTAACATCATTGGATGTTTTGAGTTTTATAATTTCACACCTACTGGTCAGAAAAAAAAAACCTCCAACACACTTAAAGTGGCCCATGGGCCACCAGTTGATAATGGCAATTGTAGCAGGTTTTGCAGCTCTGGACACGTTTAATTTAGTGAATGAAGGGTCAGAAATTGCTCTTTTGATCCTAAAGGTTGCAGAGCCCTGGTATGGAGATTTGGAGTCAGATGATACTGTGTGTTGTTATAATTACTTGCTCAAAATTCAGTAGGTTCACTGAAAAAAAAACTCACTCATTTACAACATTTAAGGCCTAAAATACTTTTCTACTTAGCATAGCTGTACTCACCGTGTTTCCCAAACGCTGATAAATGAGATTAAATTTCATTGTAGAAGAGCTGAATAACATTAGGGGCACCGTGCGCCCTCTAGCGGCCGCCGTGTTTAAAACAACCAGGAAGTAAAGATTCAAACAAGTCAGCTGATCTCAGAGTCAGCTGATCAGGCACTGTATCCATGTTTTAGCTTTAAATAAAACTTCCATGTCTTCCTGAGTCACCATCATTGTGTCTTTGTACTTCATCTGAGCTGAGACAAGCCCTGGCGTGTGCGTATATCCTTAATTCACTTGTTTGTTTGTTTTCAGCTCGTGCACAATGGAAGTGGAAAACAAGATCAGCTGGTTTTGTCAACACGTCATCATCCACCTCTGCACTTCTCGCTGACTTTGCTGTTTTTGGTGCTGGGTTTTCATTATTTCCGCTGACTACAGATTAAACCATGTGCACCAAAGCACGGTCTGTGATTGTGTGTTTTACAGTCTGACGTCAGATCAGTTCGAGTTGAAGTTCTTGTTGTGGAAGGATCACGTGATCAAAGTGACAGCGCTCTTGTTTGTGTGACTTCCTCCACCAGACGTTCAGTGCAGCAGCTCGGTGTCAGAATGGCACCTGTCTGTGCTGCCTTGGCTTTGTTAAGCCTCACTCATCTGCTTGTGTTTGGTGTTGCTCCTATTTGGACCCAGCCGGAGCAAGTGCACCTCTCATATGCAGGTCAGTGTTAACCTTTGCTCCTCATGTATTTTAGTTTGAGAGCACCTATATCTCTTAATTATAAAACCCAACCTACGAGGTAGAGAAATATAATATGCATCGTATTTTTCGGACTATAAGGCGCACTTAAATCCTTTAATTTTTCTCATAAATCAACAGTGAGTCTTATAATCTGGTGCGCTAAGTAAATCAATTCAGTTTTTTACCTGTATTTTTTTAAAAAAAATTTTTTTATGAGGACCCAATTCCATGGTGGTGACCTGGACCACCTTTAGTAAGACACAGAGCAGGGTGGAGTATGGTCTTGTAGGTGGCCGGCTCTTTGAGATGAAAGCTGAAGGCAACGCCACGCTCTTTGTGGACTCGGGAGCAGAGAAGAGGCACATCTTTATCCACAGAGTCACTCTTACAGACCTCAAACCTGCTGCTACATACGGTGGGTGGAGCTGTGCTCTCCGTTTTTGACTTGTCTGGCTTACGCACTGTTAATATGGTTGAATTTTCTTGTTTTTAGTGTATCACTGTGGTGGCGATGAAGGCTGGAGCGACGTATTCGTCTTCACGGCGCTGAACGACAGCTTAAGTTTCAGTCCCAGGTTTGCATTCTATGGAGATCTGGGCAATGAGAACCCTCAGTCTCTGGCCCGACTTCAACAAGAGACTCAGCTCAGCATGTATGATGTCATACTGCACATAGGTAACCTCTGCATAGATGTAATTGTTATTACTGTGCTCCTAAAGCGCTGTTAAAGAATAATTACCAGCAGCTCAAGACATTAGTCTTGCACAGATTGCTTACATCAAATGATGTTAGCATGTGAGCTTATACAGGTCCAAAAGAAATGTCTAACTATGTAATGCATCTTTTTGTAATTACTGTAATTAGCAAGCATTGTATTCATTACTAACAATATTGGCTTAAAAATTATGTGTTGGATTTCTTTCAATGCACTTTCAAATATGTGTTTCTTGTAAAATCTAAACAGAATGCATGTGGATGTTGTTAAAAATGTTTTGGCCAAAACAACGTGACCTTTATAACTTTGGAGAAAATGAATCTTTTTCTTTCTCTTTTTGATGACAAGCCCATGTAAGCAACATTACTGCTGTTTGTCCTTGTTTAAAACATGCAGGCAAACTGAAACTGTGCAAACAAGCAATCCAGTTGGAGCAAGAACCTTATGAGTGTCACATGCTACTTTTTTTCTGGTTTATAAAGGCGCGTCAGCCGTGCAAAGTTTAAATGGTTAGCAGGTTTGCAGAACGGATCAGATGACAACGTGATTGAAAAAAACAATTTTAATTTATACCAAAGTTCATGCTCAGTAATCCAGGTACAAATCCAACAACGTTCAGTCATCTGGACGGTTTCTTTTGTTTTGTTGAAATGTTTCATCCTTCAACCAAAGGACTTCTTCAGTCAGAGGAGCCACAAACAAACTGAAGTCCCACAAGAACCGCACTCCCATAGTGGGGAAGAAAACAGTTTGCTGGTGATAAGATGGTTTCTGGGGCCTTCCCTCTCTCCCATCAACTATTCTGAGGCAGCAAACTATCACCAGCAAACTGGTTTTTGTTTTGTTTTCCCCCCACTATTGGAGTGTGGTACTTGTGGGACTCCAGTTTGCTTGCGGCTCCTCGGACTGATGAAGTCCTTTAGATAAAAGATGAAACATCTCAGAGGGAAAAAAAAACGTCCATAACTGACTGCACTGGGTGCATATACATATATATATATATATATATATATATATATATATATATATATATATATGTATATGTATATATATATGTAAGAATAAAGGGTTATCATGACACTTAATGTGTGCACTCTAAACCCCAAATTAGCTTCTAGCTGGTTAGCTTAGCTTCACATAAAGACTGGAGGAAGTAAACTGTCTTCTAGCATCTCTACAATAATCCCTTGGTTAATTTAATTATGAGTTTCGATCTCTTTTAAACCATAAACTGATGAATATATGTATTTTTGTGCAAATTAAAATGCTTGAAATTATTCAAATCAAGTGCCGAGCAAAAATCCAAACAATTGCACGGTTTGACCTGAATGTTAGCAAGAAGACTTGAATTGAGTTTTAAGAGAAATTTAGAAAATGCTAAATCTTTTATTTAAGCTCCTTTCCTAAAAAAATAACTCCAGGCCATAAACACATTTAACATAACAAAAATAAACATTTCACTCATATCTAATTGGGACAAAACATAAATCAAAATTTATTTTTACATTTTGTTGGCGAGTGACATCTTAAAACCTGCTGAAAGATCTTTTTTTGTTTGTTTTACAGGGGACTTTGCCTATGATATGGATGAGGTACGTTACCCTTCTTTCTTTCTTAAACCGTTAATAGGAAGTAAACTTGTGTGTAGTTTCCATTTAGAGCAAAGACAGCAAGTTTCTTTCAGCAACACTCCAGGCTGTTTTAATTCCACAGTGACAGATGAGATAAGCCACTTCACTTTAGTCTGCTGCCCTCTTCCCAAAGTTAACCACTGTTTATTAGGCCATATACAGCCTCTCCACTGTGGCTGAGACATTAACATCCCTGTGAGAAGCCTTAAACCCTTGGTGAAAGATGAGAAGTGGGGCCACGTCACCCAAGTATTTTATGAATAAAAGTGCCAGAGTTCAAAACCACAGGTCCCAAGTCCAAATCATTATAATAACTCATTTAAATTCCTCCCAGCTGTCGTTTTTTTTTTTTTTAATATGTAGCACGCATAGCCTTGTATCGGATGCTAACATCACTTTCCTTTAAACAATTTCCTCCTTTACTAATGTTTTTTATTTAATTTGAACAGAAGGATAAATGGAATCAGCAGACGCCTTTTAAACACCAATCACCATAATTCATTCAAGCCACGTTTTCAGTTGGAACGTCTCGAATACGCTCTGTGGTTTTACTGGTGTTTTAAGGAGAAAAACAGAAAAGAGGAGGGCATTGTTTTTGTTGATGCAGGTAAAAGCAGGCAGAGTGGAAATAAACCGCGCAGGGCTTCTGAAGGTCGTCACACAGTTGTCGGAAATCTACGACACAATCTGGTTTCAGTGCGGTTTGTTTTGCATGCTAGTCATACTTTAAAATAAATCAGTCTGCAACAGAGATGATTCCATTTAAAACACATCTGGATGAATATAACTGAGTGGAAGAAGAATAAATACTAGTTTAGTTTGTTAATTTGTTTGACAGGAGCGTTGCACATGAATAAATGTTACTGTAAATGTGCCAGATAGCCACAATGGCTATATTTCACCTGAACAGGTGCTAGAAAGTCCTCCTTAAAACATTAGAGAAATATCGTATCTGCCAAAATGCAGTGACTGTTGAGTGCTGATTGAATTCAGTTCAAGTTATTTATAAAGCACCAAGTCACAACAGAATTCATCTCAGGGCACTGAACAGAAACACTGAATAAGTTTGCTGACAACGCTGAAACTGAGCTGTTAAAGCTCAAAGAAGTTGAACAATAGCTAAAATCTTAAAGGTGAAAAATGCTAACTAAAAGCTGAAAGTAGTAAAACAGTAGCCAAAAGGTAAATGTAGCTAAACACTAGCTATAACAGGGCTATTCAACTAAACTTCTCAGGGGGGCACAGTTTCTGAAAGCCATTAGCTCGGGGGCCGGACATCCAGCAGACATTATAAATAAACCAAGGATTACAGTAATCTGTTACCTTTTAAATGTGTTTGTTTTATTGCTTTGAGTCATAAATGTAATAAACAAAACTCAAACCCTTGCAAAAAGAAAAAAAAATGAATTCATTGGTGGGCTGGACTGTCACCTGCAGGCCAGAAGTGGCCCAGAGATATAAGCTAAAAGTAGCATAGCCAGAATGTCCCGAATGAGCGCAGAATATTCTGTCATTTGAATAGTTACAATAGCATAAAGTATGCAGGACTAGTTACATGTTAAGTTGCGTTATTGTGTGAACCATTCACACAATAAGATAAGTGTGTAGCGACTTTGTTCCACAAAACAAAGCCACTACCGGCTGCGTAGGTTTTGCTCTGTGACGCATCTCCAATGAGCCATGCCGAGTTCAGCTTGTGTTTTGCGTATTCATTTTAAAACTAACACGATAAACTTTTGCCATCCATCAAACAGCACCTATATTTACATTGCTTGTATGACTAAAAAATTATGTCGATCAAAAGAGTGACAGTCAACAGAAAAGTTTACAAAAGAATCCTACTAATGCAGCACCTGGTGCCATGACCCAGATCAGCTAATTAACGCGTGACCACGCCCCTCTTGCAATTACCTGAAAGGTAGGACAAATCTGAACACTTGTGCCACCATAAATAACGCATAACAGTCCTTTTGGCTCTTACAATAAGAAAATCAGGACAATTAAAATTTTGGCTGCATGTTGGAGTAGCTCTGTTACTTTCATTCTGAGTTATTGCTTTTGAAAACTTTAATTCCTCTTTTTTTCTGGATGTAAATCACGTTTTTTGGATGTTTTATTTCCTCTGGTATTGGATGCTGTGCAGCTGGAAGGATTTTTACTGAAACCCTTTTAATTTTGGGCATTTGTTATGATGTGTAACCATGGCAACAAGGTGTTTTTTAACAACCAGGAGCAGCTGATTAACATCTCAAACACTCAAATATCTCAACTACAGCCCCATATCCCAAATGAGTTGAAAAGGAGGTGTCGTGGATGAATTCTCGTCAACCTGGCGGCAGTGCTTGAATATCTGACCACTGAGATCCTGGAGCTGGTGAGAAACTCGGCTCATGACGACGGGAGGACCGGGATCATCCCCCGGCACCTTCAGCTGTCTGTCAGTGGTGACGAGGAGCTCGGCACAGTGCTGGGAGGAGTGACCATCGCTCAGGGAGGAATTCTGCCCGGCATTTGGACAGTCCTGCTGCCCGGGAGGAAGGAGAGGTCCACCGGATCTGACATTAAGCTGTATCCGGGTGGACGGATCGGTATCTGTGGCCAGATTCTTTGGATTTGCTGCAGGTCTTTCCTGCCCGCAGCTGTCAGTATCTACAACAACTCTTGAATGAAACAAGGATGATGAGCTACAACAACATTTAATTTCTCTTTGGGATTAATAAAGTATTTTTGAATTTGAATTGAATTTGAATTTGAAATACTTGTACATATTTGAAAGACTAAACATAATTAGAAAAATAAATTGTGTAATAAACACCAAAGTTCATGCTCTTTAATCCAGGTATAAAATCCAACATTCAGTCAGGTCATCTGGACGGTTTCTTTTTTATTCCCCCCCTTTTTTTTTTGCTGTGACGTTTTGTCCGAGATGGATGTGGCTCCTCAGATTGAAGAAGTCCATTGGATGACGGATGAAACGTCTCAGCAAAAAAAAAAAAAAAAACCATCCAAATGACCTGACTGGACATTGTTGGATTTTATAGCTGGATTATTGAGCATGAACTTTGGGGTTTTGAACCACCTGGACATAACTGTCTCAGAGGAGTGGACAAGGGAGAGGGCGGGCCCCGAAGGCCATCTGAGCACCAGCAAACTGTTTTTTTCCTCTATGGAGTATGCCGTTTGTGGACAATCTGTTTTGTTTTGGTGGCTCCTCAGATTGAAGAAGTCTGCTGGATGATGGATAAAACATCTTAGAAAAAAAAAAGTTAAAAAGATCTGACAGAACATTGTTGGATGTGTAATAAATAGTGTTAAAAAAGTTTATCTAACCAGCCTAAGCATAACTAACAGACACTGATAAAACAGTCCTACCTGACTACAGACGGCAAACAGACTTCGGCAATGGCAAAACTGACTGTTTATAACAGAGTCATGCTTAAACATTTTACAACAATTTCCTGAGTTCAGTCACTCGTGTTAGTTGTTGTGTCATTGCTTTTATGCTGACAACCTGCCTTGAGTTTGTTTTCTAACAGAGTAATACTTGGTGTCATGTTTAAGGTGGAATGATTGTGTTTCAGGACGATGCCAGAATTGGAGATGAGTTCATGAGGCAGATCCAGTCCATAGCAGCTTACGTTCCCTACATGACCTGTCCAGGCAACCATGAAGCTGCATAGTAGGTGGAATTAAAACCCTTAACGCTCAGACTCCCACATGATGGCAGCTGCTTTGATCAGCGAGCCAACATGAAAACTTCCTTTTCTTTGTGCTGGGTTTTGTTCAGGTCACAAAGGCAAATGCAAATACTTGTGCTGTTTTTTTTTTATTTTTGTAAGGCCGGTCTGTCGTAAGCCACAGTTTTGGTACCAAATCGAACACATCGAGTTCTTTTCAGAACTTCTTAAACAGATGGGACGTATTTTTGTCTCAGTGTTGGAGCCACATCAGCAACCACCACCATCTAATCAAGGCAATGCTCTCCAGAGCAAACATTTATCTGTCTGGGGTTAATTATCAGCTTAAGGCCTGTTTTTCACATCTTGCATGTGATAGCAGGAACGCTGCCTGCATTTTTAGATATTTCTTTTAGAATATTTTCGGGGTATTTACCCTCGATAATTTTTGAGGAGAGATGAGACGAGGACAAAGTACAGATTAAGATTTGTACATGTAGGCTTGATTTTTAGTTCTTTTCTGTCATAGGTGACATTTTACTTATATTTTTCGGATTCATGAGATTTTGTTTGGTGATACTTGATGTCTTTTTTAGGAATTGGTATTATAAATAAAACGGAGCTAAACTGAATTAAATTGAGCCAACCTGTAAATGTTAGGTCTTTAGACTATTCAGATTTGCAGAGTCTGAACAGACATTTCAGACTTTTCAAATGGGTACCACTTTACAATAAGGCTCCTCTTATAGAAGCTAATAAATAGTAGATATGTTATTAATTCCTCAGTAAGCACTTTATACATCATTCATAATTGTTTATTATGCATTAATTAAGGGTGACAGAGACAAAACCGACCAGTTTCTTGTCAAATAGTGAGCCAAATCTGTTCATCTATATATTTCATCTACAGTTATCATATTAAACATTTCAGACTAAGTTATTAACTTATAAACACAATAAGCGTTTGTAAACCTATTTCTTTAGCATATAATATTGTACTTTATCACTGCATTACAAGTATCTACAACTAATATTATATAAGCTAAAAATTAGGTTTACAAATGCTTATTGTGTTCACAAGGTAGTAACTTAGTCTGAAATGTTTAATATAATAACTGTAGATGAAATATATAGGTGAACAGATATGGCTCACTAGTTGGCAATAAACTGGTCAGTTTTGTCTCTTTCTCGCCTTTAATTAATGCATAATAAGCAAGCGGTTATTAATGATTTATAAAGTGTTTATAAAGGAATTAATAACGCATCTATAAACGCTTCATTAGCCATCTATAAGGGGAAACTTATTGTAAAGTGATACCTTAAAAGGTTAAATTAAAGAAACTTTGGCAGCCTTTTCATATTATTTGCTGTGAGTGTTTCTCGTTTAATAGTCAGGTGGTTACACTAGAAAATTAGTTGCAGAGTGACAAATGATAATCATTTTTATATTTAAACATAAACCTCTTATAGTATTTTTCTATGTTGCACCAAATATATATATAAAAAAGCTATTTTTTAACAATATTAATGTAGCTAAAATCTTGGCAGTAGATTTTTATTCACAAAACTCTGCATTGACTAGATCCTTAAATGCCCCTTGGAATCAGTTGTGTGTTTTTCATACTGGAACAATTAGAGCAATCGAATCCTGCAGCAAAATATTTACTTGCCGCTGCTATAGTGGGCATATTCCTGAGTCTGTCTTTCCATGTGCTACAGCCTGTGTTGTTTTTTTTTTTTACAGAGCTGTTAACGGTAGTCTTTGTCTTGGCACTACATCCCGACTTGAGAACCCAATTCCAAGAGTCATTTCGCTGCATTACATAACCAGAAAACCAGCTCTCCTTGCCTCCATTGATACCTAAATATCTGTTTGTTCTGTGGTGTTGTGTAGAATCCAAATATTCCCAGCAGCTGGCGGCGGCTGTTTGTCGTGCTCTCGTTCACCGTACCTCTTCGTTCCTCCAATTTTTCCAACCTCAAAGCGAAACGGGCGAAGAGCAATTGAAACGAGCTGACCGCAAAATGTTTGGTTCAGCATTCCAGCAGGATGAGGACAGAGGGTCCCACAGAAGATGCTGACGCACCAATCAAGACTGTCTTTGTTCGTTTAGCACAGCGGATGCTTCTTTATCCCGTCCTGGAAGCGGGAACTAACCGTCACCATTTGAAACGATATCTAGTGACGGGAGTTAGAAAGATGATTGCAGCTTCCCTCGGTTTATCTTACTGCATGGATTTAGCTCATCAGATAATGAAGGGAAAGATCTGATGAGGATGGAATGTTCTTTTATAGGATAGCAAACATATGGAAACAGATTTGAGGGATAGAGAAAATGACTCATGTTATCCGTAAATCCTTTAGTCCAGATCAATATTTCAGATATCTTCTAATCATGTTTGTTTTCAATCAGATTTTCCACAGCTGATCTTCATTAAAGTCTGTGGTTTGTTTTATAGGCTAATATTTTCCTTTCAATACGCCATGACATCACTTCCTGAATCCTACTGACTATAGCATGTACAGTATTATGATAAAAATACTGTTTATCCCGACTTTTAAACAAATACCTCAAAGCATTTGCTCATATCTTTCCTAACCACAAGATGGGAGTATTAACCAGTGTTTTGCTGATTCAGGCCCATCATCAGAAGTTTAATGTGGAAAAGTGGAATATGACTGATGGGGTCAGGAAGACTCATCTGTTGTTTACCTTCTCTGAAATATAATTCTAGTTATTCAGACGACACATTGCTGTCTATGGAAGCTGCAGGCCTCATTACTGTCAATTTCTGGGTACCTGTTTTGTTTTTTTGACTCGTGACCCAGTTAAGCTCTGCTTAACCTCTGACTTTTTGTTAACCCAGTCAGCACAGAGGGCTGAACTGTCTCGACCTACAGCGGCTGCTGTCGAGGAATTAGTTTGATTTTCTCCGCCTCCCTTATGCAAGATAAGAAAACAATTATCCTCGTCACAGTGCCTGATTAATGACCGTCTGGCTCCTGCCTTTACGCTGAAAGTAAAAACTGTGAAAGGAGATAAGTGGATTAGAGTCGGGGAGAGCTTTTCCACGGTTCAGCCTTTGAAACATTTTAGAATTCTGTTTTAGTTGCTCCTCAGTTTTCAGCTATTCATTCAACCTTTATTTATACAGGTTAGTCTCACTGAGTCCTGAGGACTCATTTACAAAGCTATAATGTGGCCTAGTGAAGGGAAATGAGCAGTGGTCACATGGTCACTGCATCCTGCTATATTTGGAACAATAAGAGTTGAAAATGTGACTTCTTAATGTCTACAGGATCTGAAATTAAAGCTTTATTTTAAACAGGATAGTGTGGTTTTAAAAGGGGTGTATTTAGAGGCAGATATACTTCACTGACAAGTGAAGGCCCCGACTTTCTTATCCAACCTCATCTCCACTCAGACTCCCCAATGTTGACCAATTTCTGATTATTTGGCTTCCATAAGTGACCATGAGTCAGAGTTTTGGGGTGATGTCATGGAGGCTTCCTGCAGCCTTTAATTTAAAAATGCAAACACAAATAGCCAGCGTGCATTTTCCTTTAAAGATCAAAGATCTGCTGGAGCTTTTATGAAGCTTGAAGCAGACTCCACCACTGCAAGTTCAGAGTTGTTGTGATTTTTTATTTTTTTTTTAAGCTGCAAAGAGAACATACAGAAGAATGAAAACAAACATACATGGTTAGTGTGGGGACTGCTGTCTCAGTGTATTTTAGAGAAAGCTTGGAATTACCATACAGTAAGTGTATTTTGGATGCAGTTGTAGCTTTTTTTATCTCTGGTGTTTGGACCACGAACTACGAGAAAGCAGCAGTTTGTGGTGCTAATTCCTATTTATTATGTATTCAAGGAATGCAAATTGTATGATCAGATTTGTCTAATTGCATTTCTCACAATTTCCATCTCTTTGCTTTTCACAGCAACTTCTCCAACTACAGGAATCGCTTCAGCATGCCCGGCCAGACTGAAAGCCTCTGGTACAGGTAAAACAATACAATTTAGTTGATATCAACTGTAAAATGCACAGGAAGCAAAAGTAGCTAGATAAATTGCATATCCTGCAAAAATACAGTGTGAATGCATATTGCTGAAGAGCTTTCTGTAAAACAGCTGAAATTAGCTAAAAAAAATGCTGAATTTTAGCTGAAAAGGAAGCCCAAGCCTAAATTTAGCAGAAGAAAGCAGAAAGAACACATATTTGCTGAATTTAGTTTAAATAAGCAGAAATAAGTACAGAAATTGTGAAATTAGCTATAAGAAGCTAAAATTAGCACAAAAAAATGTGAAAAGTAGCTGAAAGGGCAGAAAGAAGCTTAAACTACCAGAAGGAAGTGAAAAGTGCTGAAATGAGCTAAAAAATTGTGGAATTATCTGAAAACACTAAAAATAGCATAAAACTGCTAAATAGTAGCTGAAATAACTGAAACTAGTAGAAATAACCTGAAAGGACTATAACATGCTCAAATTAGCAGAAATAAGTTAATTAGGCTGAAAGTAGCAGAAGTAACCACAAAAAAATAAATGTATCTGAAAACAGCTGAAATTAGCTAAAAAAACAATGCTAAAAAGGTAGCTGAAAAGGTAGAACAAGCTTAGATTAGCAGAAGAAAGCAGAAAAAAAAACAGTTTGCCCAGTTAGGTGGAAAGAAGCAGAAATGAGCACAAAAAAGTGGAAATGATGAGAACAAAAACTGTTAAAATGTAGCTAAAAAGGCATAAAGAAGCTGAAAATACCAGAAAGAAGTGGACATTTTTGCTGAATTAGGCTGAAATAAGTTGAAATGAGTGCAAATAATGTGGAATTAGCCAAAAAAGATAAAAGTAGCATAAAACAGCTAAATAGTAGTTGAAATAGAAAAAGCTTAAACTTGCAGAAATAAGCTGAAAGGAGCATAATAAGCTGAAATTAGCAGAAAGGGGTTTAAAAAAAGCACAGAAATGTTGTAATTAGCAAAAAGAATCTGAAAGGAGCACAAAACAGCTGGAAAAAACAGCTGAAATTACTTGAAAGTAGCTGAAAAAAGCTTACATTTGCACAAGGAAGCTCAAAGCAGCTGAACCAGAACAAAAAGGGAAAGGAGCAGTAAAAGGTTGTAAACAGATGTAAAGATTTAAAGGATGTAAAATGAGCTCAATTAATTTTCTATGAGAAAAGGGTGGCAGAAAAGGCTAAATATTTCAAAAAAACTAAAGTTGCACCAATACCAAAAGTCATGGCAGGATTGGCCTGAACGAGTTGAATGTTTTGATTTATGATTTGTTGAAATAGCACAAAAATTGTGGAACGAGAAAGATGCCGAAAAATGTCCAGAAGAAAAATGGATGACAATAGTGTGAATGCTTCATAAACATTCACACAATAAAATACTGAATTGATGGAACAGATCTTACACTCACTTCATGCAAAAATGAATTCTTGGACGGTGCTCAAGCTCCTGGTGTATTTCAGTAAGCACTACTGAGCTGTAAAAGTCAGCAGTTACCTCTCCTATCTTTGGAGCACCAGCTACACAAAGGAGCGATACATGGGACGTTGTGACTCATTGCCCTCTGCAGACCTCCTCCTCTCAGACAGAAAGATAATACTCTGCCAGACCGCGGGCTTACTCCCTGTGGGTCTGAACGCAGGCAGGCCTGCTGGCTTAGTCCTTCACTCTTCTGCACGCTAAGGAGCAACTGGAAGCAAAGACGAACTCCAAAAAGTGCTACTGGAAAATGTTCTGCTACTTTAGCTCTTGTGCTGCACTGTGTCATTCATACTGCAGGATTTACATGTACCCAGTATTAGAATCACAAGGTCTGTTTGATTTAAATGCAGCAACATAGTGACGAAATCTGGATATTAGTTTCTCACACTACATGTATATAAAGTTTACACTGAAGTCAAGAGTGTTTCAGTGCTTCCTTTTCTGGGTCAAAGCTGTTTCATTTGAACATGTCTGCAGCTGGAACCTGGGGTCAGCACACTTTATCTCCTTTTCCACCGAAGTGTACTTTTTCCCTGAATATGGCATGGATCTTCTCTTCAGGCAGTACGAATGGCTGAAGAACGATTTGGAGGTTAACTTACAATTATTTCAATTTATCATTCTTCGTTAAAAATCGATGCATTTCTGTGACTAATAGACAATTGCGCTTTCTCTGTCTCCCTTTTATTCATTTGATACGTCTATAAATCGTGGCTTAGGAGGCCAGCAAGCCTGAGAACAGGGCGCTCCGTCCCTGGATCATCACCATGGGACACAGACCCATGTACTGCTCCGACGATGACCAGGATGACTGTACCAAGTTTGACTCTTGGGTATGCACATCCGCTAGTGCTGTCCATTTATATTTTTCAACAGAAAAGTGACATTATAAAGTTTTTAGTGTTGATTTTAGTGAAGAAAATTACGTAAAGAATATCTTCAGCCTAGTTTATAAAACTGAACATTAGCTCTAAAGCTGATTAACATACCTGATAGTTGGAAAACAAATGTTATTACACTTGGCCAAGCGATAGACGTTATATTATTCTAACAGTTGGATAATTCTTGAACATGCATGTGCTGTTATGTTCTCCTGGTTTTGTAAAGAACTGTTTTTTTTTATCACAAGAAGCACATTTTAATCAGCTCTGGTATCTGATGCCTTCTGCAGGCTGGTCAGGCTACATCACATCCCATAAGTCCATCTTAATCACTGCAGTTAAATGTTGACTTGCTTCTCTCAGTACTCGGTCCTGTTGGCAGTGAAGCCACCATTGGCACATTGATTCTGCCAGAAACTTTTTTTTCCAGAGCAGATATTGTTGCATTTATTTTAATGCTGTAAATATTTCTTCATTTGTTAATTTTTTAGGTTCGACTGGGGCGCAAAGACATCAAACCACCTGCTCCTGGTCTAGAGGATTTATTTTACAACTATGGTATGGAACCTTTGCAACACCAATTTGTGTTACAGATCTACGTTTAGAGTCCAATTTTTGTTTTTTATTAGTTCAAGCAAGCTAATAATCTCAAACATCAGGCTCTCAGTCTGGCTGACATATTTCTGCTTGAATTGCAAATGTCACTTCTGTTTGTTGTGGTTCATTATTTTAATTGGGATGGAAAGTCTTATTAGATCTCTGTTGGGGTTTTTTTTTTCTGAATGCTAAGAAATGACTAAAATGCAACAGGATCTGATAAACATTAGATTACCTAGCAGTTATTATAAATTATGTTTACAGCGTGGTTATACCTGCTAAGAGTTTTTTGTCATTAAATGTTTTACAGGAGTGGATTTGGAGCTGTGGGCACACGAGCACACATATGAGAGACTTTGGCCCGTCTATGGTGACAAGGTCTGCTCCTGGAATTAATTTACAGGTTTTTTTTCTGCTCTTTGTAGTCCACAGTCCTATATTTCAGTTGCATGCCCTCGTTATAGGTGTACAATGGAAGCACAGAGCATCCGTATGTAAACCCCAAGGCTCCAGTGCACATCATAGCAGGCTCTGCTGTAAGTACTTCCACATCGCTGCATTGCTGTGAACCTTTTTCCACATAGATCAAGGCGTTCGGTAACATCAACAAAAACACTGTCATGTATTGTACACAGTTCTTTTTGTGCAGCAGCTGCTCTGCCGCATAAGTTTAGAACCGGCTGTTCCTCTGGGTAAGTGTTTTTGTGATGTGGTGGCGAGCAGCGCAGGGCACACTTTGTCATCTAGCCACAGCGGGATTAGTCATCAGCGCACCAGAATGCAGCCAGATTCGCATCGGGGCACAGCTGCAGATTTTTTTTTTTTAAAAAGAGAGTTTTTTTTTAGTAAAGCATGCGTCTCTTTCTTGTAAGATCTGTTTAATCACTGCTGAATCACCCACAGGGCTGCAGAGAGAGGACAGACAGGTTCAATCCAAACCCCAGAGAGTGGAGCGCGTTCCGCAGCACAGACTACGGCTACAGCCGAATGCAAGTGGTGAACGCCACACACCTTTATTTGGAGCAGGTTTCTGATGATCAGGTGAGCACATGTAGAAGAACATGTGCACAAGCACAGCTAAAAGAAAGTAATGCATTTTAAAGTGATGGTTCAGATCTTTTGAAGGGAGGTCAGTATTTACAGGACAAAACTCCCCCATGGGAACTTCTACCTGAATCTCCAAGCTGAAATGGCTCTGACTGCTGTTTTCTGAATATAAGACATCAAATTCTCATCATTTAAACACACTAAACTGTCTCTTTAGGGACTAGGAGTTTTTCCTCAGATAATGACAAAGACCTTTTTGTGTTTTCCAGTATGGCAAAGTGATTGACAGCACATGGATAGTGAAAGAAAAACATGGCTTCTCTGCCTGGTTTTGAAGACCTTAAAAATGAAGATCTCATCACAAAATCACCCTGAACTTCAAGAAACCTCCACAGTTTTGCCACACTACATCAGTTATGCAGAAAAAATAATTTAAAAAAGGTTTTCTAATTCCTTTTTTGTTGTACAGTGGTCCCTCGCTACTTCGCAGTTCGTTTATTGCGGATTCGCTCTATCGCGTTTTTTCAAAATAACATTGGACATGACACACATCTGGCTGATTGATGGATGAGCCGCATCATCGGCATGGGATTTTTATTTAAAACAAATTATTTTAAATTATTTAGCACCTGCTGCTCCTTTGTGCAGCCCACAACTGTAGAAAAAGCTTCCTCCTGCACCTCTGTGCATCTCATACTGCAGGATAAACTTCCTCCTGCAGCTGAACTGCTGATCTGTGTGCAGAACGGAGAAGTGGGCGTGGCCAAGAGCGCTTGCAGGTGGCAAAGAGCAGAAGAGGCAGGAAGCTGAAATCATGACATTCTGTGCTCTTTTAGAGCTTTTAGAAACATTGTTTAATGTTGCAAGAGCGTGGAAAGGGTGTAAAATGCCTTAATATCTAAATATGTAAATATTAAAATAAATTACTACTTACTACTTGTTCTACTATTCCTACTCCACAGTTTTTCACTTATCGCAGGGCTTCAGGATACGGGTAAACGAGGGACTACTGTATTTGCAGTTGTGAAACTTCTGATTACTCTCTTTTCTACTGTACTTTATCCACTTTGAAATGGGCACAACATGATCATCCACTGTAAATGTACTTTATGTAATGTACAGTATTTGTACTGTACTTCATCGTTTTTATCGATGGCTTAAAAACACACGTTTAAATAAATTCATTTTTGGATTTGCTTGCTGTAATCCATCATTGTAGACAAACCTGAGCTGCCATTTGCATCGTTTTTCATCAACAGGTAAATATAAATCCCTGACAAGACATCAAGGGGAAAAAAATAGCATAAATCTAGCACATTGAATGCTCCAATCACCTCAGAGCATATATTTCATTTCAGAAGCCTGCAAACGCACATAAACAGATGCTATCTTCCCTCTTTCTCTCGAACTAAATGACAAATTGTTCCTGTGGCTAATCCTATCAGGATTTTGGATCCTCATTTTAACATTCATCTGCTTGGCTGCCGGACTCTGAAACAAATAGACACATGAAAGCCTATGCTTGCAAACAAACACAGTTAGGTTTTCTTGTGGCTGGAGCCCATGCAGAGTCTGCTTTGACTAAAGTTGCATTAAGTCTTAATAACAGCATGCTGCTTGTGATGCTTTCAGGCGTACAACCAGTATAAATCTGCATGTTGCTTTCAATTTTAGCTTTTGAGCTGTCCGTTAGCGCCTAAGTGCAATCATGTCTGATTTTGTTCCTAGCAGCATAGTGTACATACACAAAATCAGCAACCCGTTAACATGGCACATTTCAGTTAACATCAATCATAGCATTTGGACATTTTTATCCAAAGCACATGGAGCACTATGGAAGGATATACAGTAGGTTTAACCACTAAGGAAAACGCTACAGAAAAAGCAATTTTTCATTCAAATGAAGTAGCAAAAACATGAAGCTGAAGCCTACAGCTGCTCGCTGTATGTGTCAAAACAACTTCAGAAGCTGGGAGTTGCTGGAGAACGTACAGAAAGTAGACAGAGACACGTTTGTACCTAACCACAGATTTGTTGAACGTCTCTTTGATCTTGACAGTAAGGTGGTTTCTGGACGAGGACAGACTCATGCCTCTGCTGTGTGGTTTTACACGAAAATAGGAGTATTTTTGTGGAGAAAACCCTGCACCTCTGAGTACTTAATCTTTGACCTGCTGGTGCTTCACTCAGTAAGATACTCCAGTTTTTCCCACCGTCCAAAAACCTGCATGTTAAGGTAAATACTGTTTGTAAAAAAACAGCAAAAGGTCAAGAGCATATGTGCTACATTTGACTGGAATTTGCCCCGTATCTCAGGTGTAGTTAATTGCAAATTGATGCCCTGGTTAAACAGAGCCTTGCTAACTTTTCCCAAGACCTTGGTGTTCTAGTAACGTCATAACTGGAAGCTACTTTTAATATGTCAGCTGGTAATAATCCATTCTTAAGTTTATAGCTGAGTAAATCCTTAAAGAAATAAACTCTCTAAAGACCACATATGACTTTTTCGCTTAACCAAAAAGTGCTGAAGCTTCTCTATGAGACTCTTCCAGATAGTTTTCACTTAAGCTCTGTGGTTCACCAATATTATTTATCTATTTGCAAATTCTAAAGTCACCCTTTTTACTTTTCTCTGCAAACTGTATTGGGATACATAAGAGGCTTCGGTGTGGTATTTCTCTCCACGGGTGATCAAACGGCAGCACTTAAGCTAAGCACGCTGGGGACGTGTGCAATGAATTAGAGCTGCCAGCTGCTGAAGCTTGGAGATATTTAATCAATCCAGAAGTTCAGTGCTTTTCCAGAACCAAAGCGCACTAAGCAGCCTCAGACCACCACCAAGACAAAACAGCCGAGTACAGTCTGCCCCGGAACGTCGCTGCACATTCTCACCATAATTTGACTCTCAGCATCAACATCACTGTAACTTACAGGCCTTCACAGCTCAACAGAAACATCATGAAGTATACTGATAGTAAAAACAAGATGAGCATGATACTGTCAATGCTGAAATGGTTTGTTGTTATACTTGTGCAAGTATTTGAGCCAAGGTATTAAACATGCATTCTCTCCATAAGAAAAAAATGTAAATTAACAAAGATCAGACTAAAGTTTTGATTAAATGTAGAACTTCTGGAGACATGGGAGTTCACACTGTCTGTGTTGAGATAACTCTGAACATTAATTGTAGGGATTCCCACTGATAAATCTCACTATTTGGGAAGCAGACAGCTACTGTCTGCAGGGAAGCACACAGGAGTGTGAGTTTTGCCAGTAGAACAAGGAGACATGTCTGCGGTTAAAATGTAAACAGTGAAATTTTTTTTTTTTTTGCATTAAAATGGCTTATGGTCACAAGTCAGAGGGTTCTTATGAATACATACAATTGCAAACTTTCCAAACAGAACATCAACTCCACTTGTTTTCACCAGTGACATCTACTGCCATCAATCCTCAAGATTAAAGCAGAAAATAATTTGGCAACTGCTGTAAAATAGGAATAGCAACATAATAACTTTATTAAATACGCCATCACCTACACAAGTGCACCAGTGCATGAGGTTTGCCCCCCTTTTTTTCTCATTTTCAAGTCTTTTCCACTGAACAGAAAAAAATCAGGAAACACACGTATTTTATTCAGTGACGTTGCTAATGGTCACTGAGGGCTACCCTGAAAATTAGCTCATTCAGCAGGAAGTCTGGGAATCATGGTGCAGAAATTTACTTCATTAACTCAAAGGCTCAACCCTTGAGAGATCTGAGCAACAGCAGGGCTATGCTACTTAACTGGCTGTTGTTGGTGACTGTCACTGGGGCATGTTACTGAATATAAAGAGGCAATAGGTGTCTGCTTGTAAGTTGAACTTTCAACGCAATCGATAAAGTTTTTTCAACATAGCGACAGGGTCCTGGAGAACCTTCATGCCCCGCTGAGATGCATGCGGCAGGATACGTCATGGATCTGATATGCCTTTCCGTATTGTCTCAGGAGGATGCCGAAGATATTGGAATCATGATAGCAGGGTTTCTGCTTTTTGGTACTGGCAGATACCTATGTTATCGGCTATTAAAGTAGACGGCGGCAGCAGTTTCAGCCATGGCAAAACTGCTGAGTCTGTGTGAAGGTTTGATTCTTAGCACTCAAAATCAGCTGATTTATGAGCTAAACTGTACGATGGAAGCAATTTGTGAGAATAGCAGGCCGCTTGCAGCTTCTGGGACTCACCAGCATGTTGGGGACGACCTTGGAGGAAACTAATAAGCACGGACCAGTGGAATGCCCACAAATCTGGCCATTTTGAATTAAAAGTACTAGTAGAACTCAAGGCTGACGAGAAATAACAGTCTGCCTGAAAAAAATCAACAACTGTGGCTTATCTGAATCCGACTCCCTTGTCTGGCCTCGAAGCAGGCTGACTTATCAAATTTCTCCTGGGATATGTGTAAATTAAGAAAGTTCTGTCTATCGCAACACCCCCACCCCCACCCCGAGAACTCCTGTGAATGCTTATCGGAGCTATCGACTGACGCAAACATCTTATCAGGACTATGGACTATCTGGAAGTGCTTCATGGACAAATCTCACCATCTTGTCATCAACATATGTAATGTCTTGCTCGCTTGCTGGTAGAGTTTTTTGATGTCTTAAATCGTGTCCTGATAGGACAAGGTGCGAAGAGATCTTTTTTGTAATACTACTATTCTCATGTCCATTTCCCCTTTTCCTATCTAAAAGGATAAGGGGCCGCGCTCTTAGGAGCAGCAGCAACGTGCACTCCGCCCATCTTTCGGATGACTGTATGAACATAATCTCACTGTATTTTGGTACAATGATAATAAAGCTTATTCTGATTCTGATTCTGTTTCTTAGTCCCCCAGTCACATTTAGGAGCATGCTTAGTTCTGAGATTGCCAAGTTGGTTAAGCCTGACCTGTCAACAAAATAACAAACTTCCTGTCAGTGGCTGACTGAGATAAAAGTGTTTGTTATCACCTGCCACTGGTCAAAAAGACACAGGGAGGGAAGTCTGAGATTGTCATCACTGTATGTTCCCTAATGGCGAAATTAGTTTTCTGCATTTAACACATCACATCTGAGATACACCCAGGTGGAACAGTGGGTACTGCTATGTAGATGCCCAGGGAGCATTTGGGGATTGGGTGTCTTGCTCAGAGACACCACAACATGTGGGAATGGCTGGGAGTCGAACCATGACTTTCTGGTCCCCAGTCGGCTGCCCTGCCTCTACCCCATCTCAGCCCCCATAAATATGATCACAGCTGTTCTGCTGTCACAGCTACCTTTTTGTTTAGTTTCTAGTCACCCACAGATGATGGCATTTGTTTTCCAAGTCAGAAGACTCATTTGCCCTCAGCATATGCTCTCAGTGTGCTGCCAAGCATGACTGGTTAACACAAACTGCTCAAAGATATCTTCTCCCACAGGCTGGCATTTTAGAGCAAACTGCAATA